ATAAAATATTGGCGAAAAATAGAATATGTGGAATTTTTATTTGGATTTATCATGCGCATTTTTTATTCTGGCCGGATTTGAGATCTGATTCTCACACTAAGTCTTCAGCATTGTTTCTTTCTGTTATTTGCATAAATTTTTAGAACGAAATGGCTCTTTTTAATAGAGTAAAATGCGTAAATGTTTAATTTGAGATAAATCCCCATTGAAGGTTCTGCCTAAAAATATGGTTTTTGCATTTATCTTAGTGTTTTATTTATTTTAACGCGTAAATTTTTAAAGCTTTCAATATATGAAATTTTGTATAATAGATAGTTCTTTTTATATATTTTATGACAGCATATTCATATCAAACTTTTCATAGTCAAAATTTGAAAAAAAAAATTTGGCTTTTATTATTGACAACAAAAATAAAAATTTGAAAATAATATTTTTAAGGTATATTTTATGGCATTTTTGGTAGAATTATATTTTACGCTGATCCCATTTTTTATTTTTTAATTATATGGGTGTTTTAGTTGAAAATAAAAGAAAGCGAATAATCAAAGGAAAAAATAAAAGAAGAAAACAACGATATACATATTCTACACACAAAAACATGTCTAGCTTCTGTCTTTGTGATTTTATTGGCCACGAAAAGCAAATGATAAATTGCTTAAATGGTATGATATCTATCGAATATTACTGTTTTTAGTCATGATAATTATAGTAACGATTTTTTAAAAAAAATAAATACGCATGCATTTAACATAAGACATTATAGTAGTTGATACAGTGAAAAACTAGTTTGAGATCAGAAGAGTTTTACTCGTATATACATTCTCTAAGTTAGATTTGTTGATTCTCAATGAAAAGCTCTTATTCGTTTTTATTGGTGAAAGCATATTATTATTATCTTTGTTGCCTGCTAAAATCGTAAGATTTGACGTTTTTTATACGTTTTTTAATTGTATTTTCATAAATAAAATAACTGATTTATATATAAGATTTTTTTGTTGTGTTAAATTGTTTACTAAAGCTCACAAGCTAAATAGCAATAATAAAATGAGTAGAACGTTTAAAAAATCGTTTAAAAAGCTAAATGCTTTTTTATAAAGTTAAAGATGGGTAGTCCACAAGGTCACTCCCCATTCAACCCTCTATTTTGTTATACTTTTAGATTACTTGCACAACATAGTTTGTTATTATTTGTTTATTCAATGTATTTTTCTGCGTAGAAATGGTTTGTTTTGCTTCTAAAAATTTCTCAAATAACATAACAAAAAATTTGTTTTTAAAATTTAATTTATGCGTAAAAAATAATATTATTTTATAAAATTCTTTTTAAATAATATTATATTGTGATTCTTCGAAAGTTCAAAAATATTAAATTTATCTATGAAAAAGTTTACAAGTATTGGTGGTGATTTTGAAAAATTAGAAACGTGTTATAATGTACATGAACTTAAAATTTTTATATTTTTTATGTTGGTTAGTAATCAATCAAACATTTATTGCAATTACATTAAAATAAAATTAGAAGTAATTTATATTTTTTTGTTTTAGCATTACTTTGGAGGAATTAATGCGATTCTATAAACCTTCTAGAAAATCAAAATATATACAGAGTGTTGTTATTTTTTTTGCTTTGTTTGCCTTTCATAGTTATATAGACACCTGGAATCTAGTATTTGTCTTTATGGAATATAGAACCGTTTCTTTATTATGAGGTGTTAAATATCATTTTTAAATAGTATTCTTGAAATACTTTTTCTTGTAAAAAAAAGAAAGACAAAAAAAACTATTTTTTACAATAATAAATTTGTTTTTAACAATTTTAATTCTGTTTTTTGGCAAAAATTATCAAATACAGAAATTATTTATTCGAAGAATTCTTTTTAAAAAATTTAGTGCTTTTCAAAAACATCATTACAAAAAAAATAATAATTGTCCAGGGATTCAGCATTTAAAAGAAAAAAGATTGCATTAACACGTGTGAAATATGGCAGAGACCAGTAATATTAAATAATATGTACTTAATAAAATGATAAAGATATCTTATACTGTCCAAAAATATTTATTATGAATATTTATAATATTGATTTTTTTATTACTTTGTTTAAAAAACAAATAAAATTATTTTTCATAAAAAATTGCAAAATTTTCCCAATTGTGAATTTTATGGATTATTCAACTCATAAAAATATATATTTTAGTATACATCACAAAATTTATAGTAATAACATTCCATTATAAAAAATCACATTTTAACAATTTTTCACAAATAAATTTATTCTTTAACAATCAGATTTAATACTGATTTTCAATAAATGGTATAATTGACGAAATCAAAAAATAAAATCTATCAACCTTAGATTCTATTGTGTATTTAATTGTAGTAAATATAAATAAAACTGTTGAAGTTGCTCATGAAATCGCTAAATTACACAAAATCGTTCATATCACACCAAAACAAGCACAAATTTATATGATTTTGTTGAAGGATCTGGTTTTGATGAAGTCACAAGAAAAGTCTTGTAATACTGTTGTTTATGTTGAAGTTTTAATAAGGAAAGATTTTTCAGAAACAACTAAAATGCAAAAAAATAGAATCGAAGATATAAAGGTAGGGAAGATCTTAAGAGGAAAACAATGAAGGAAAAAAAGAATACTATTATAAAATATAAGAAATGCACAGAAAAAATTGTGAATAACTACAGTAGTAAAAAATCCAAAAAAGAAGCATAATTTTTTATAGAATTAGATCTTTTTTTAGATAGATCTGAATGTAATAGAGCAGAAGTTTTTTATTAAAGATTTTCTGGAAATGATGTAAAAATAAAAAAACTATAGAACAAACGTTGTTGTTAATGATTAGGCTTTAAAAAAAACGAATATATTTAAAATATTGTGGTGGAAACTGGGGATACGACCTGTTTTATATTATCTTTCTAGGATTAACGCTGATGGATGCGTTTCTCAATTTTCAATCGCTCTTCGATTGTCACGCTTTCCATATAAATTTTTAAATTGTTTTTTTATTTGTATTCATTTAAAGGTAAAAAAATAATGGAAATTCAGGGGATTTAATTAATAAACATATTAAAAGCAATTTAATTCTTTTTTTCTATTAACAAAAAAATCATCTGTTAATCTATTCATGACTTAAACACCAAATTATTTGCTGTTATATATCAAACAGACACAATATATACAAAGACTATTTGACCTTTAAAGATTAAAATGAACCTTTTTATCTTATGAATTATCGATCATTTAAATGAATTTTTCAGATTAATAAAAATTTAAATACAGGTTTGTTTTGAATTTACCCTATAAATTTAATAATTCATGCTATTTATATTGTATTACAATTACATTAGCTTTAAATATATATGTGTTTTTTTAAAAAATTGTATAATTAATCAAAGCTTAAAATTAGCAGTTTGTATTTTCACAAAAAACTTCAGGTTTATAATACAAAATCACGAAATCATAAAAAATTTACCGATTCCATTTCTAAAAAATATAGACTCAAAATAGTTATATGTTTTTAACTTTTTTCATAAAATTACATAATTTTCAATTTTAATTAATAATATTGCATGTAAAAACACGAAGATATTTTCAAATAATTGACTGACGTTTGTTATTTTTTATTGGTTTTACAATGAGCATTTATTTCAAAAACAATTTTTGAATTTTGGGTTAGAATTAAATAATTAATTCATACAGAATTGATGTTTTAGCAAATTTTTTTATTTGATTAAAACATTTGCTGGTTTTTATAGTTTTTTTGTGTTTTCATAATAGATAATCAGGTTTTTTCTTTTTAAAATTTTTGAAAAAGTCGGTTTTTTTAAAAAAACATAACAAAATAATGTAAGTTTTTTTGTATATGATAGTGTTTTTTAATTTTTTTGAATATTCATATTTTCATGAATAAGTTGTGATATTACTGTTCATGCTACAAGTTTTAAAATTTTTCATATTGAAATATAAATATTGATAATTTTATAAAATTATATTATCGTTTCATTTTTCCTTATATCATTTAATCAAAATGCGCCTAATATCCTGCTTGTTTCAATTATACTCATAGGTACCATATTTATTCAATATTAAACCCGTTTGATTACATAATATTATCAAATACTGAATTAATAGTAGTAATTCATGCTCGAAATGTTTGATAATGTTCAAATATTTGGTTAGATTTTAATGCATGCTAATTATTTGATGATTTGATTTTTGTTTTAACTAAAAAAACAGTTTTATGATATAATTAGAATTTTCATTCTAATGTAAATGGTTTAAATTCATCTTGCTGAAATTTTTATTTATGATTTGCTTGAGGTGTCTGAATATTATTCATTTTCTATAGAAAGTTACATAGAAGAAAGCGACTATGCAACATTAGAAAAGGAAATGTTCCTAATTTGATAATAAAAAGTACGAGAATACCTTTTTAAATACAATTTAATAATACCAAAAAAATAAATACTAAAAATTATTTAAAGAATCGTAGATGTTGTTTTTGAATTTCATGGTTCATGTTTTTTGAATTGATTGAAATAAAATTCTAAAATTCACAATTCACAATCCCCACTGGGATATTTTGAATACTATTTCATTTCTAAAACTATTAAATGTGTGTAAATGTAAATAATATAAATTTTCGAATATCAGAATACCAAATAATTGATGCTTAAATTATGTAGCTAGACATTCTAAATTACTTTAAAAGTATAAAAATATTTAAAAATGCACAATGTAAAAATTTTATATATAAATTTTTTGATTAATTTTTTTAATTCTTTTAAAAATACAAAAAATTATATTTTTTCAATTTAACATTAGATGCCCAAATATCAAATCCGTATTGAAATTCAACAATAAATATCATTAATAATTCATTGCATATTGTAGTAACTACTTTGGTATATAATTATATAACAAATACATTTATGTTTTAAATTTGTTAAGAAAAAAAAATTATATACAAGAACGTTTTTAAAATATTCCCCATCCGGGAATCGAACCCGGGCCTGAAGCGTGAGAGGCTTCTATCCTAACCATTGGACCAATGGGGATATTCAAATTTTAACTAAGATATATATTATGTTTATACATAAATAAAAAAAATTGTTACTATTTGATCTAAGAAATATATATGTTTTTACATGCAATGAAAACAATGCTACTACTTGATCAGGCTGAAATATGTCTGTTCATAATGAAAAATTAGTTAAGCTAAGCACTTTTGATATTTTTTCTAATTCTAAGTGGATTTTATAAGTTGATTACATGTTAGAAAATAGAGCATACTACCTACTTTGCAAATGATATATTGTACTGGCAAAATATAATATGTTTTATGTTTATTTAGTATTATAGATTATTAAGAATTTTTCTGCTCTAGATCGAATTATAGAAAGGTTTACAATTTTTTCATGTTCTGCTGTTTGAAAAATTTTTTTGCCCGAAGATGGGATATTCTAATTGATTTTTATAAAAAAAGAAATTTTTTCAAATAATCGAAAACTCATTGCACAAACTAAACAAAATCAAAAATCATTATGAGAAGTTATTTTATGAAAAAAATCCACAAAAATTTGAAACACATTTTTCGTCGGAATAACTAATTTTTTCTTAGAATACTATTGAGTGATACGATTTGAGAAAACAATTTGACATTTGAAGTGTTTAATCTATTAACAAAAGATACTATTAAATTTTTAAAAAATTAAAAAATTCCATTCGAGCATTTTTTTAATAAAACTTAGTTTTAAGAATCTTACAGCCAAGAAAATTTCGGTATTCAAAATCTGATTTTTTATAACTTTCTTAAACTTCATAATTTCAAACGTTATATACGTAGGTACAATATTATTAACAAAAATCGCAATTTAGGTATTATAAAAAACATATTGCAACCATTAACACATAATATCTACAATTTTAAATGAATCAATTAATAACGATAAAACAAGAAGCAGAAAATGTATTTTTTTCTTCTGATATACATTTTTTAATAATTTTTATCTGTGCTTTATTTTATCGAAAAAAATTGCCATTCGTTTCATGCTTTAACAATTGCAAAAACGCCGCTAAAAATTTGCCTATCTAATTTTTTAATTTTAACAGACATTCAAAATCAATATTCATAATTGTTGAGTAAATACTAAAATTTTATGACTTATTTCAAAATTCAAATTTTTACAATTTTTTGAAATGCATTAATCCTTTAGGGGCGAATTCAAATTATCGAAATCAAAGCTTTTCAACTATCCACACAATGTATTTTTTTTTCCTTTTGCTCAAATTAATTTATCCTTTTTGAATGAATAAACATATTAGATTTTTTTGATAACCACAATCTATGTGTTGAGTATCATTGGAATACTTTTAATGTAACTTTTGAAAGTTAAATAGTTCATAATAAAAAAAGGTGTATTTATTAAAAAGGAAATAAGGATCAAGTTGTAAAAAAGATTGTTTTATTTATTTAAATTATTTTATTTAGCAGAAATAGAGTGTTTAAATTTTTTTGTTATAATTTTTGTGGGTGATTGAGTGTCAATCAACTTGATTGACAGTTCTCTATTTAAAGCGTATGAATTATTAGTTGATGGTGGGAAAGATGAAAAAAGAAGTAATCAAAGAGATCGTTGCTTCGCCTTCTAAGACTATGTATTAAATGTCTATTTCAAGTATATTGTAATTTTATCGGCTAATTACAACTATTGGTCAAATTACAAACTTTTAACAAAAATTGCTTTCTATTCCAATTTAAATGGTATATATAAATATAAAATTGAACCCAAAATTTAAGTGGGAAATTCAAATTGTTCTGTAAAGAAGGAACATAATTTGTTTAAAAATTAAAATTTAAAATATTTAAATTCTTACTCTTGTTACATTTATTAATATATTTGTTGTATGATCTTTAATGATCATAAACATTGATACAGTCACTACTATTATGATTGTACATAGTACTATTATTATTATTCGTACTAATACTACTACTATTTTTATCATTTATAACTCTTCTCTTTCTTTTTTGTTTTAAATAACGTTTTATGATTTTGCTAATCTCTAAAAACACCAAAAGTATCTAATTTTTAAATATTTTATGTGTGTTTTTTATCATATCTAATTTTATTGACTTCTTAATGAAATTCTTTCATAATAATTAATAGATTTGCAATACTTGAAAATACCAATAATAAATATTCAGAACACAATCATTATATTATTAAACTAAAATATTTATGAAATCTTATACCGCAAACACATCAAAAAAATCATATTTGTTTGTCATGTTCAGTAAACTAAGAATTAGCTAAAGGTCGCGATGCTAGGTATCATTGGTTAGTTAGAACCTACTCAAACAGAATACATTTTATTAAGTTGTTAGATGTGTGTTACAAACATTAAATAATAAATGTCATAATTGAATTTTTTAAATATTTTTTTTGTTTTTTCATTATCACAAAATTTATATCAATTAATATATTTTGATGTCTTTGACTTATTGTTAATGTTGGATGTTGCGGATTTATTAATTATAGCTTCTTATTGATTTTGAAAAATCAATTCAAAAATCAAACTTTTTAAATACTTTTTGCTCCTTAATACGAAGATAACTTATTTCTATTTCAAATTCTTTAAATATATAATTATCCAATAAAAAATTTCTCAAAAACTTTTTGATGTAAATTAACGGTAAAAAATAAAAAATTTCAAAAAAATTGCAGCAAATTTTAATTTCAAATATATAATAGTTATCCTATTTTATGCCTAAAAAAAGTATTTTTATTCAAATACTCAACAGTTAAGATATAAATTTTATTTTTTTTATTTGATAAATAATGAATTCTTTTACGGTTTTTAGCTGTTGGCTGATGTATCTGTCTAAGTCATTTCATTGACTTTAGGTAGAAGATGTGATTTTTTGAAGAAAAACAAATGTATCTATAAATAAACAAAATTTATAAAGAAATATGTCATACAAAAATTTTATTTTTCTTTTAAATTTTCATTGCGCACAATTAAACAATTATCATAAATATATATTATTGCAGAGCTGAAAATAATATTTGGCATGAGAAAAGCATCATTGATGACGAATTGAAAAATTTATATCTTCTTATCTCTGAAAGATATAAAAATGCTCTAGTTGACACTTTTTTATCATCCTTATCACTGATATTTTTAATTATAAATAATTTTGCTAAAAAATTAATCGCTTGTTGATGAAAATCGGTAATTGGTTAACTGCTTATTATAACTAAAAAAATTTTGATTTTTTGATTTTTTATAAAATTTATTTGGTCGTATTTTATTAAAAATAAGCTTTATAGAAGCTTTGTACTTACAAATATCAAAAAAATTAAGGATTGTTTAAACAGCTAACCACATGAAAATGATTCATCGCGAAGAATACAAGATTTTCCATAATATCTAACCCTTGGTGTTTGTCAATTTTAACAATTTGTGATTCCTTTACATTCAACTGTTAAATCTTATATGCTGATAATATGAATCGAAAAGGTCGAATGAAAATTGCAGCAAAATGTTGATTAAATAATTATTTTTAAATTTTGTATTAATATATTACTATTCATATATTATTTTTTGTTATCTAATCTTAACCAATAATACATAAAAAAATTTTATGCATAAAAAAATTGATGTACATTAACATAATTTTTAAAAATTGTTACTCAATGTAGTCCCTTAAATATTTAATTAAATTCGAAAAAAAATGGAATATTAACAATTAAGCATATTAAAATGTTTTTTTTATTGATCACGTCGAGAGAGTTATTAAACTTTTTAAGTTTACATTGCAATAAGAATAAAATGTCCCATTTTTTAAAAATATCAAAAGAATAATTTTTATCAAAAAATTAAAATTTAATATATTTTACTCTATACTTCTTCTGTATCTTTACATTTATCAAATAATCAATTATTGATTTGCCATTTTACAGATGAATTTCTAAGAAAAACTTTAAAGAGATTACATTATAAGACATGGTCTATTTAATACAATAATTCTATTTAAAATTCACGTAATATAAATAAACATGAAAAAAAATCAAGATGGATAAAATCTATTACAATTAACCAATAATGATATTGTGTTTTATCGGAATTTTTTAGAATGAAAAATTATCAAAACCTATTAAACATCAAAAAATTATTTACTAAAAAAATATATAATAAAATACGAACATTTTAAATAATAGATATTAATAGCAACAGAAAAATTATTATCGTATTTGTAACCAATAAATTTTCTGGACTCGAATTTAACAGCGCAAATAAATCATGCAAATTTTTTACATGCTATAATAATTTATTTTAAAAGATTTAATATCTCTTACACATAAAAGTATTGTGTTGGAATATGAAACTTTATGTTGCAAATAATTCCTTTATTTCATTGGATATAGTAAATTTGTTTTGGATTCCTTCTGATTTCTGAAATACTTGTTTAGAATTTTTTAGGACAATGGTTTGTTTATATATAAGTAATTTTTACAAGATAACTGTTTTTTATTTCAAAGGCATGAAATAATATTGAAAAAAATTGGCAATAGAAAAATTTGTATTTTTTATATGTGATTGGTGCGGTATTGTTGATTTGTTTACAACATAATATAAATTGGAAAAAAAATTAGATAAAATAACCAAATTAAATTTTTAATTTTTATGCTCAGATTTGATATAACAAAATGATTCAATATTTATGGATCAAAAAAATACGCTTCTATAAAATATTCGTCATTTGTAATATGAAAAATCCGCGATTTCTGATTTTTTAAGTAATTTATCTAAATGCTTGTAAAATTTTTTGTTTTGGATATGATGGTCATAATAAGATGTGCAAAATTAGGCATCTTTTGATGACAATAGTATAACATGAAATTTTTAAAATTAAGAAAATTCTTGATTTTAAAAAATGGTATATACTACAATATGCTTATCCGGGACTGGGCAGCTAAGTGTTAATATAGTTTTACGAAACAAGGACAACCTTCTGAAAAAATTAATACACCAATCAGCGTGTTGGATTTAC